TTCTTGTCCTGGGTGGGGTGTGGTGGTGTCATGCCCTCCCTTCCTTGCCCTGATTTCCTTTGCTCCTCCATCCACGCATCCATCCATGCATCCCTCCATCCCTTCCTCCATCCATCCATGCATCCCTCCATCCATCCATGTCCCCATCCATGCCCCCATCCCTCCATCCATCCATGTCCCCATCCATGCCCCCATCCCTCCATCCATCCATGTCCCCATCCATGCCCCCATCCCTCCATCCCTCCATCCATCCATGTCCCCATCCATGCCCCCATCCATCCATCCTTCCATCCATCCATCCATCCATGCCCCCATGCCCCCATCCATCCATCCATGCCCCCATCCATCCATCCATGCACCCCTCCATCCATCCATCCATCCATCCATCCACACACCCGTCCATCCCAGCCCTACCAGGGCTGGCTGTCCCCTCTGGGCTCGCCGTGACCCCCGTGTGTGTCCCCCCCTGGCCCAGGCACGTGGAATGGCACCACCAAGGTGGCGGTGAAGACGTTGAAGCCGGGCACCATGTCGCCCGAGGCCTTCCTGGAGGAGGCTCAGATCATGAAGAGGCTGCGGCACGACAAGCTGGTGCAGCTCTACGCCGTGGTGTCAGAGGAGCCCATCTACATCGTCACCGAGTTCATGAGCCAGGGTGAGCGGGGTGGCACTGCCCGGGCAACCCACCCACCCCCCCATCTCCCCAAGCAGGCATCACCCAACCTTGGCATGGCTGGGGTGGGCAGGGAGATGGTCCCAGGGTTGGGTGGCTTGCTGGAGAGGGCACCCTTGGGTGGGCACGGCTGGTTCTGGGGGACTTTAATTGCCACCTTCTGCCCCACAGGCAGCTTGTTGGATTTCCTAAAGGATGGGGATGGCCGCTACCTGAAGCTGCCCCAGCTGGTGGACATGGCTGCCCAGGTACCGGGGAGGTTGGCATGGGGTGGGGGTACCCCCCCACAACAGGGGGTGCATCAGGGGGGGTCCTCACTGTTTTTCCCCCCCCCAAGATCGCGGCGGGCATGGCCTACATCGAGAGGATGAACTACATCCATCGGGACCTGCGTGCTGCCAACATCCTGGTGGGGGACAACCTGGTGTGCAAGATCGCTGACTTCGGCCTCGCCCGCCTCATCGAGGACAACGAGTACACGGCGCGCCAGGGTGAGCCGCCTGGGTGCCACCCGGGTTTGGGGACTTCTGCCCTGTCCCCACCCTGCTGCGTCCCACCCTGGGCCTGAGGATGGTCGCCCCCACTGCTGGGTGTCCTGGGTGATGGGTGCCCCGGGTGATGGGAACTCCAGAGGATGGGTACCCTAAGGGTTGGGGGCCCTAAGGGATGGGGGCCTCAAGGGATGGGTATCCTGGGTGATGGGTGTCCCAGGGGATGCATATCCTGCATGATGGGTGCTCCAGCTGATGGGTGCTCCAGGTGATGGGTACTCCTGGAGATGGGTACCCCAGGTGATGGGTTTCCTGGGTGATGGGTGCCCCAGGGGATAGGTACCTCAGGGGATGCATATCCTGGATGATGGGTGCCCCATGGGGTGATGGGTGCTCCAGGTGATGGGTGACCCAGGTGATGGGTTTCCTGGGCGATGGGTATCCCGGGTGATGGATATTCCAGGGGAGGGGTGTCCTGGGTGATGGATGCCCCAGCTGATGGGTGTCCCAGGGGATGGGTACCTCAGGGGATGCATATCCTGGATGATGGGTGCTCCAGGTGATGTGTGCTCCAGGGGGTGGGTATCCCAAGGGGTGGGTATCCTGGATGATGGGGGTGGCAAGGGATGGGTTTCCTTGGTGATGGGTGCCCCAAGGGATGAGTGTGGTGGGTGATGGGTGCCCCAGGTGATGGGTACCCCCAGAGGATGGGTATCCCGGGTGATGGGTATCCTGGTTGATGGGTACCATGGGTGCTGGGTGCCCCAGCAGATGGGTATCCCAGGGGAGGGGTGTCCTGGGTGATGGACGCCCCAGCTGATGGGTGTCCCAGGGGATGGGTGCCTCTGAGGATGCATATCCTGGATGATGGGTGCTCCAGGTGATGGGTGCTCCAGGGGGTGGCTACTCCAAGGAGTGGGTATCCTGGATGATGGGTACACCAAGGGGTGGGTTTCCTTGGTGATGGGTGCCTCAAGGGATGAGTGTGGCGGGTGATGGGTGCCCCAGGTGATGGATACCCCCAGAGGATGGGTATCCTGGGTGATGGGTACCATGGGTGCTGGGTGCCCCAGGGGATGGGTATCCCAGGGGAGGGGTGTCCTAGGTGATGGACACCCCAGCTGATGGGTGTCCCAGGGGATGGGTACCCCAGGGGCTGCATATCCTGGATGATGAGTGCTCCAGGTGATGGGTGCTCCAGGGGGTGGCTACTCCAAGGGTTGGGGTGATGGGTACCCCAGGGGATGGGTACCCCGGGTGATGTGTACCCCGGGTGATGGGTATCCTGGGTACCCCAGGGGATGGGTGTGGTAGGTGATGGGTACCCCAGAGGATGTGTACCCCGGGTGATGGGTATCCTGGGTGATGGCTACCATAGGTGATGAGTGCCCATGGGTACCCCGGGAGATGAGTGGTACCCCAGTTGATGGGTTCCCCAGGTGTGGGGGTGCCCCCTGTGTAGGTTGCTTGGGGTGCTGGGTCCCTCTGGGGTGCGGGTGTCCCTGGTACATGATGTCCCAGCGCAGGGCACCCAGGATGCAGGACACCCTCGGTACGGGGTGCTCTGGGTGCAGGATGCCTCTGGTGCAAGATGCTCCTCCAGGTGTGGGGTGTCCCTGGTGCTGGGTGCCCCAGGTGTAGGGTGCCCCAGGTGTGGGTGCAGCAGGGTGCCCCGGACACAGCTCATCTCTCCTCCCCTCGCAGGTGCCAAGTTCCCCATCAAGTGGACAGCCCCGGAGGCCGCCCTTTATGGAAAGTTCACCATCAAGTCGGACGTCTGGTCCTTTGGCATCCTCCTGACCGAGCTGGTGACCAAAGGCCGGGTGCCCTACCCAGGTAGAGGGCAGCGGGTACCTCTGGGGAGGGCTGGGCAAGGGGGGTGCAGGTAGGGCAGGGGTCTAGGAGTGATAGAAGGGACATTGTCCCTGGGCCGGAACAATTTTCACCACCAATACAAACCAATACACCAATACAAACTAGGGGGTGAGGAATTGGAAAGCAGCCCTGAGGAAAGGGACTTGGGGGTGCTGGTGGAGGAGAAGCTGGACATGAGCAGGCAGTGGGCACTTGCAGCCCAGAAGGACAGTCCCATCCTGGGCTGCATCAAAAGCTGCGTTGCCAGCAGGTCCAGAGAGGGGATTCTGCCACTTTGCTCTGCTCTGGTGAGACCTCACCTGGAGTCTTGTGTGCAGGTCTGGAGCCCTCAATATAAGAAGGACATGGACCTGATGGAGAGGGTCCAGAGGAGGGCCACAAGGATGATCAGGGGGATGGAGCACCTCTGCTACGAGGACAGGCTGAGGGAGCTGGGGTTGTTCAGCCTGGAGAAGAGGAGGCTCCGGGGAGACCTAATAGCAGCCTTCCAGTACCTGAGGGGGCTACAGGAAGGTTGGGGAGAGCCTGTTTAGAAAGGCCTGTAGTGACAGGACGAGGGGCAATGGCTTCAAGCTGGAGGGGAACAGATTTAGACTGGAGATGAGGAGAGGGTTCTTCACTGTGAGGGTGGTGGAGCACTGGAACAGGTTGCCCAGGGAGGTGGTTGAGGCCCCTTCCCTGGAGATATTCAAGGTGAGGCTCGACGAGGCCCTGGGCAACCTGGTCTAGTTGGGGGTGTCCCTGCTGACTGCGGGGGGGTTGGACTAGGTGACCTTTGGAGGTTCCTTCCATCCCCGACCACTCTATGATTCTATGACATTAATATTAAAGATACTACTCCAGCAAGCAACATGATGAAGCTGAAGCTTGCCCAGCACTTGCAATTGCAGTTAAGCTTAGGAAGTTTGTTTTGTTTCAAGTTTTCTGTGCCAAGTTTCTACCTCAGGCTGGCATCCTGGAAAACTTGTCACTGGGACAATTCAGTTGTCTCAGTTCTTCCATAACTAATCCAGCCCAAAAATCACAGAATCACAGAATCTCCTAGGTTGGAAGGGACCTTAAAGATCATCTTGTCCAACCGTCAACCTAAATGTTTCTCAGGTTTATTTGAGCAACATCGGAAGAATCTGTCAGCCATGTAGCTCTTGATCCTCTTTATACCGATTTGCCTAAATTTTGGGTTGGGAAAACTTGGCTTGCCCATGCTCAGTGGAGATTAGTGCTTTCTTGTCATACATGGAGAAGATGTGGACCTGTTGAACGGGTCCAGCGGAGGGGCCACAAAGATGGTCAGAGGGCTGGAGCACCTCTGCTGTGAGGGAGCTCCAGGAGAGCTGGGGAGGGACTCTTTGTCAGGGAGTGCAGTGACAGGACAAGGGGGAAGGGTTTTAAATTGGAAGAGGGGAGATTTAGATGAGATACCAAAAAGAAATTCTTTGCTGTGAGGGTGGTGAGGCACTGGCCAGGAGGATGTCCACGCAGGAGGACATGTAGGAGGACATCTCTCTGCCCTACATCCAAGCAATGGATGAGGGACTCTGGATCAGGGAGGGGAGCCCTAGGAGGAGGGGGAAGGGTTTGACCCTGAAAGAGGGGAGATAGAGCTGAGATGTGGGGAAGAACTTGTTTGGTGTGAGGGTGGTGAGAGCCTGGCCCAGGTTGCCCAGAGAAGCTGTGGCTGCCCCATCCCTGGAGGGGACAGACAGTCCCCTGGTCTGCACCACGGCCCTTGATCCCAAAGTGGTGCCATCTGAGGGTGGATATATTGGTATCAAGGAGGGCCATGGAGATGCTGGGAGGGCTGGAGAGAGTTGGGGGGTTCAACCTGGAGAAGAGAAGGCTCCAGGGAGACCTTGGAGCCCCTTCCAGTCCCTCAAGGGGCTCCAGGAAAGCTGGGGAGGGACTCTGGATCAGGGAGGGGAGCCCTAAGAGGAGGGGGAAGGGTTTGACCCTGAAAGAGGGGAGATGGAGCTGAGATGTGTGGAAGAACTTGTTTGGTGTGAGGGTGGTGAGAGCCTGGCCCAGGTTGCCCCGAGAAGCTGTGGCTGCCCCATCCCTGGAGGGGTTCAAGGGCAGGTTGGAGGGGGCTTGGAGCAACCTGGGCTGGTGGGAGGTGTCCCTGCCCAGGGCAGGGGG